CACACACACACCCACACACACACACACACACACACACACACACACACACCTCACACACACACACACACACGCTCACACACACACACACACACACACACACACACACATCCTCCTTCACCCTGAAACCCCTCCATTTTGCTCTTCGTCCACGCCACCACCTCGTCACGTTGTCGTGCAGAACTGCATCGCGTGCACGAGAACACACGCGCCGAGCTAGAAGACGCGCTGGACCGCATCTGCCACCTCGAGAAGCTCCTCGCAGACGAGGAGGTGTGTCATGTGTGCGTTTGTATTAGTGCACTGCACGGTAGCAGTCAGCTGCTCGTCATTTTTCATGCACTTACTGTCTTCCATTTATCATTCATCTCTCCTTCCCCGACTCAACCTCTCCCCGTCACTGCGCCCGCAGTCGTCGTCTGCCGCTGCTGTTGCTGCGCTTGAGGATGAGCTGAAGAGCGCTGCTGGCGAGAAGGACAGCGCCGCAGCGGAGAACGCGCAACTCAAGGCTGACAACGACAGCGCACAGGACACCATCAAGGACCTCAACAACACCATCGACGCCCAAACCAAGGAGCTAGATCGGCTCAGGGAGTGAGTTGTGATATTGTTGTGTTGTGATTGTGATTGTGCTGTGGTGTGTTGTGTTGTATGGTGTTGTGTTGTGTGCATGTCAGTGCACAGTTGTACCTGTGCATATGCATGTGCTGTGCAATTCCAGCGCGGGCACGTTGCAAATGGTTGTGCTCATCAATCGCTCACATGGCTCCACCGCGTGCAATGCACTGCACCCTGCTTGCAGGGAGCTTGAGAACGCCGGCGGTGACGCAGCGCGCGCGGCGCTGGCGCAGGGAGAGCTTGGCGAGAAGGCAGACATGCTGGCGGCTGAACTTGCCAAGGAGCGGGCAGCAGCGGAGGCAGCACAGGAGGAGAAGGAGGCCTTGAAGAAGGAGGTGGACGACAAGGCCAATGCGCTTGCAGCTGCGGAGGCTGAGCGAGACGCCGCGCTCAAACAGGCGGAGGACGACAAGGCCGCGGCTGATGCTGAGGCAGATGCGTTGAACGACGAGATTGCCGATCTCAAGTCGAAGCTCGCAGACGCCAGCAAGGCCCTCGAGGACAAAGATGGTCGGTTTGACGGATTGCGCGCAGTTGTTTTGGTGGGAGGGGGGAGCTTGAAGGGAGGAAGTCAGTTGGTACACAAGTGTGTCGACTCACCACACATACATTTATTTACACTCACGCACTCACACGCACACATGCACACACATGCACACACATGCACATAATCCCTCACTCATTCACTCACACACACACACACACACACACTCACCCAAACACACGCACACACTCGCTCACTCACACGCACAACAAAACCAGGCCTGCAGTCTGTGCTGCAGGACCGCGACGCGGAGCTTGCACTGCTGCGAGAGCAGCTTGACAACAAGACAAAGGAGTCTGAAGACCTTCAAGGCAAGCTGGACGAGCTGCAGAAGCGCGCAGATGAGCTTGCAGGCAAACTTGCCGCCGCGGAGAAGGAGGCGGCGGACCTTCAGTCCAACGCGGACGCCATGGCGAGGGAGAACGAGAAGGCCAGTGGCGATGCAGAGCGCGCTCTGGCGGAATGCAGCGAGGCCCGCTCTGATCTCGGTGCGGCGCCTGGTGATGTGATGATGCGTTTTGCACCTTGCCGCTTGTGGCTGTTCTCGCTCACACGTTTGTTCCTCCCTTTTCTCTTGCTAGTCCTCTCGAAGCACTTATCACGTCCCACCATGTTTCCTCTATCACACCCATCACTTCTCGCACTCACCACGGCCACCACCACACTCATCACCCCGTGCCGTGTGTGCAGAGGCGCGGCTCGGCGCAGCAGAGTCGTCGCTTGCGGACCGCGACGACGAGCTCGCCAAGTTGCGGGTTGAGCTTGACGAGGCGAAAGACGCCCTTGCAACGGCACAGGGCGAAGCCGCAGACCTCAAGCAGGTGTGACGGCGGTGACCGTAATGGTGGTGCTGCCGGTGGGATTGGCGCGTGGTTGTGGCCCGATGAATGCTTTGGCCCAGTTGCTGTCACATCATATGTGGTGCTGTTGCCTCATTGCATTTTTGTTTTCGTTGTTGTTTGGACGCACGGCAGGAGCTGGAGGACAAGAGTACCGACATTGAGGCGCTCAATGACACGAAGCGTGCACTCGAGGTGTGGCTGCTGTCGTGACGCTTGTGTCTTGTGTTCGTTTGGTTGTGCAATGCCCTGAACATCCCTGTCTCACACACTTGCTCACACACACACACACACACACACACACACACACACACACACGCACACACACACACATACACATTGCCCGCTGGCTTGCACAGGGCCAGGTGGAGGAACTTCGGCCCGAACTCGCGGCGACAAAGGAGGACCGCGACGCAAAGCAGGAACAGCTCAACTCTGCAAACGACAGAATTGCCGAAATCGAGGTGGCTTCATGTCACACGGCTGCTAACTCGTCAACTTG